ATATATATATATGTTTATCATTGTTTATCAAAATTTATCAGGATGATGTTTCTTCCACAACATTCCATCACTATACCTGGACCCTTCAAAGTACCTTGGAAAATGGGACATGACCCAAACAAGGACAGGTACTTCTAAGTACGAACGGGTCGACTTCAGGTATGATGATCTACCGACCAATCCACCAGGTTGTCCAATCCACCATGTATATACCATTAGGCGCCAATTTAAGTTTCAGCCTTGCCGCAGTATTCACTGTTTTTCCTCGGACATTCTCATTACATTTGACCTTTGTGGCTCAGATAGCGACCTGACAGAGTCCTTCACGACCGCCCAAAACAGGGCCTATTTGGGGCGGCCACGTGAACGAGACTGCGTGGTACAACGATACGTTTCTAATTGGATGGTTCATATAGCACTATCGGTTGCCCATCTTTCAACAGGCCCGATCTTCAACATGGATGATTCATATTGGCTCATCTTCCAGGAGTTTCAAAGGGGTGCGATCCATGGAGGAAGTCGGGGTGCCCATTACCCACTCACTGGATGGGACTAAACACCACCCCGTCGAACGTGACCCCTGATTGGCCACCGATCTGAAGACAAATTTGATCCATCGAACCCTTCAACAGAACCAGGTCGACACCCACATCGACGAAGCCACGAGCTCGTGGCTTGGACTAAACCCTCTTTTTTTTGCGGATCAGGTGATTTGTTGTCCCGAATTGATGAAATCCCCTCTATGGTGAATATGTGATATTCCAAGGACAGCAAATCCAAGAACATGTTGTGCAGAGCAAGCTGCAGGTCTGGGCCCCCGTTGTCCACCCATTGGCCCACTCTGCTGTTTTTCGGGTTCCAAGTGGGCCTTGAAAACTGGAGGGTCTGGGCCTTCTTCCCTCCAAAAGTCCAAAGGTGCCGTGAATCAATCGAATTGCATTTCAGAGGCTTTCCCAGGACCTTCCTGTCAATTCCAGCCCAGCTTCGGTGTTGCTTCGGACGCCCGGAATTCGATCCTCCAAGTCGTTCAGCTAAGGATTGCTAACAAAAACCATCAAAAACCTACCAATACAAAGAAATTTATAAGACATCTTAAGCTAAAACCGTGCGCCGAGAAGTCCGGCGTACGCGGGGAACATATTTTTCGTCTGAGACTCTTCGAACCTCAGTGCAGTTTAACGAACACATGATTGCCAACGTGTACACCCTAGGGCTCCTGTCCCATCTCCTCAGAAGGTGGTTAGACCCCCCCTGGCACCCACCCCCCAGAGGTGGGCCAGGAGCCCTAGGACAGGTACCCTTCGACCCTTCGAGCTTTCAGAGCTTTAAGAGTCGAGTCGAGTCCGTCAAGAGTCGGCGGTCCGAGACCCCGGACGGTCCAGGTCCCCAGGGACCCGAGTGGCGTGGAATCACTTGTACAGGGGGGCATTTGATGTATTCTTTACTAAGCAGATAGTCGTCAAAAACTGGACCGGTGTGGCTGGAGATGCCTCCAAACCACTACACTATCCTGGATCTCCAGCCATTGGAGGGTCTGGTTGTTGCACTTTGGATCTTTTTTGTGAACCTTTTGGTGATATGGATACCTCCCATTTGACCTTTGTTTTGATATAGGAAAAGACATGAAAAGACCATATGTTGGGTGCTTTGTGGGCCAGAATAGAGGTCAGTCTGAATCTATCATATCTTCGTCAAACACTAGAACTGGCCGATGTTCAGGAAAGCACTCGTGCTGCTCAAGATCAAGATAAAGCCCTAGAGCCTAGGGCTTCAACTACATCTTCAGAATGTCGACCGCACTGGCACCTTCCCGAACCACCTTCAAAACGGATGCCGTAACGGAGTTTTGGAGAGGATCTATCCTACAAACCATCCTGTTGCAGGAAGGAAAAACCGGCCTGCTCACAGAACTTCTTTGAGGAGGGGGGCCCATCATGAGACAAACAGACTTTGTGTATCTTTGTGTAATTCCAGTCTTCGACCCGATGATTTGAGCACTGAACCCACGGTTCACTTGATGCTCAAGAGTCAAGAGTCCCAACAAAAAGAAATCTCCGCAAGAGACCCCAAACGGTGTCTAGAGATGTTTAGAGGTCTAAGGTCCAGAAGTGTAGAAGCAGACGACCTCGGACACCATGATCTTCAAGGTCACTTTGGAGAGAGGTATTGGTTTTCACCAGGGGGCAGATTGTTGGGGCGTGTCTCATTACCAGCCAAAGTCGGTTTAAAGACATGTACTGTAAAACTATGATCATCTGTTCAGAACGAACGGCCTGTAGAAAGACCATCCACTTGGCCCTTTCGGTACATGGAATGGACCGAGACGAAGGACGCACCGATTCCATGAGTCCACCCTTGGAGGCCCTGGCCTACTCCACCAGTCCTTCACACCACCTGCTCGTGATGTGAGGGCTGCAGGTGGGGGTGGGGCGTTCGTGTGGTTGCACGAGCCGCAGGGGCGCAGGATGATTTGGGCAAAAAAACGTGGCCTACCCCCAACAAGCATGGAAGTTGATGCTGTTGGTAGTAGAGGATTGACCCTGGTGTTTCCAGGGGCCATGCCATCCACGTAACCATGAGAGTTTCAGGAAGGGTAGCTCTTGGTCAGAAAAAAGACAGCAAATGTTGTTTGATGATGCCATCCCTCACTGGACCATGTTGGTCATGTTGGTGTAAGGGTTTTACACACCAAGCAACGTCAAGCAACGGTTGATCCAGCATCTGGAGGACAAATCACAAGTCTCCGTCCTACGGCGTTTTGTCTTGAGTAGCGGCAATGCAAATACCGTCGGAGTCCAACGGCCAGGTCTCCCAAGTGTTGAGAGCAACATGCTCAACCATATTGGATGCCCTACGGATCCAAATACCTTCTCAGAAGGTACTTGACCCTCTCAAAAAAGGTATGTGGATCACTATGTTGGATGAGAGTTGAACTTAAGTTGAATACATAAAAGATGGTTTTCATCCTCCTTCCAATGGTTAAGAGATGCATTTTGTCCACTTGTGGTGACACGTTGATTCACCGGTCGATCCGCATCTCGCTCGGCACCAGCGGCACGAGGGCTTGAAACAGGGTGGTTTGAACAAGGGGTGGTCTCATCGATCACCAGGTTGGTCCCAACGATTCAACCAGTATGGTTGAATATCACCATCCTATCCCAGACACTCCATGGGACTGCCATATATGCCGTAGGCCTACATTGGGGTGGTGCCAGCGGGGTCAATGGGGCGGCAGTCCTATGGCAGTCCCATGTGTTTGTGTCTGGGTATGATCGGACTGAGTCGTTTGTCTTCCTTTGGGTTTCCGGCCTCTTTTTTTGGCCTCCGACCAGGTTCGAGGGTGTCGAATCGGGTGAAGGCACAGAATCCAGTGCCTTGGAGAGGGACTCAGATGGACGAAGGGGACAGACATGGGTAGACCTGGTCTATGTCCCGAACCGAACTCAGGGAGGTCCGTTTTGGGAGGTCTCCCTATTTTAATAACAGATGTGGACAGAGGTGGAGCTGAAGAGGGGAGGATGGGAGGGATGGAGCTGATTGATTCTGAGGGTGAGCTGCAGAATCTGGATGCATATGAAGAGGTCTCACCATCCAAATGGAGCAGGGTTATGAATCAAGGTTCTACATGGGGTCCATGGGGCCGTCCATGGGACGGGGTGGGTCAAAAGGTATCAAAGGTAGCTGAAACGTCGACCCTCAGTGGCTGGAACAAAGACATCTTGCCCAAAGGCTCATTGGACCCTCAGTTCGCCAGGTTTTGACCCTCACAGCCAGGGTTTTGGACCTCAAACAGGTAGCAGTTGGTTCGGGTCCAGGGTCGCCTCTGGGTGAGATTCTTTGGCTCAGGATTTGGGTGTCTAACTGCATGGGTGGGGAAAAAGCGAATGTTCATCATTGCACGTTCCCCGTTGTCCTGATCTTGGAACAACATCACCACCGCGCCACCAAATCCACTCGAGAGGACCCACCGATGTCGCCGACCCGCTGGACCTCACAAGAATTCACAACACATCCTGCCACCTTCGTCCTGCCACCATCGTTCTGCCACCATCGTCCTGCCACCTGTTGAAGTGCCGACACATGCCGACACCTGTCCCGCCCCAGGAGCGTCACCCTTCCGCCTTCCGCCTTCGGCGTCCCTCCGTCTTCCGCCGTGTTGCGTCCGTGGAGCTGTTTGACTGGGACCCTGAACTTCGCCCAGCAGCGCCCTGCACTGCTGCGATGAGCTCTGGCCTCCGGCCTCCGGCACCGGGTGACATGAACGCGTGGGGACGTGGGGACCTCTCGGTGCTCGTGTGAATGACACGACTCTTCTCCGCTTCCTTCCAGCTGAAGCTTCCGAGTCCATGCAGACTTCTGCCTAGGCCCTAGGCGAGTTTGCATCCAAGGCTGGTGTGGCCGCACAACATCTCACTGCACAGGGCCACAACGGTAGGATGACCCACACAGTCACAAGCCTCTCTCAGCGTCTCAGTGGGCAGACACATCGGCATCACCATGGTCACCATCCCAGACACATGAGACTGGATCATTTGCCTGCATTGACCCCTTTTCAACCACCCCAATGGTAAATATTCCAGTCCCACGGATAGTTAGGGCATAGTATCAAATTGGTTTCCATCCTCCCCATGCTGCCTCGGGATTTTAAATCAACACAACGACAGAGTTTGTGCCAGACAAGGGTGAGCTCACATGATTATGCCTTTGGCTTTCCGTTGCTTGCCAGTACTTGCAGCATCCCCTACCCTGCGAGCTCAGTATTGTGGTGAGGGCAGTGGCTTCATTCTCATGTCGATACCGGTACAGGAAATGGTGCCCCTCTAGGCGAGTGTTGGTTTTTATGTGGAACATGTCAAAAGTTGTTTCCAGCAGTGGGACCTGTTGCTTGATTATGAACGATTCTGAAGTTTATTATTGTTTTAATGTTTTTTTACTTTATGATACAGTATATTTATATGAAGTCGCCAAATAGCTAGTGGCACGGTTTCCAAGACATTTTGAGTGGGGATCTACTTTTCTATCTATTTTGGGGTCCCCCCCAAAAAATGAAGTCTTACAATATCTTATAATTACACACTCGGTTATATAATGAAGAAAATGTTCCACCTACAGGTCAGAGTTGCTCACTAGTGAGTGTTCCTCCGAGGTGGTGTGCTTCCTGTGCGACATCGGCCTACCTCAGCAACCCGGATTTCGGGCTCAGCTCCACAGAGCGTGACTGTCTGACTAAGCCACTGGATGGTCTAGGGTCGTAGGTCGTCCTATCAAAGGTTCCTTCTCATAAAGAAGTAGGACCCACCCAGCGGACATTCCAATAACTACTAGCTGTTTCGTCGCTGCGTCACCCTTTGTTTTTGAGTCTGAGTGATGGATGGTTTGCAAGGAAGGGAATTGTTGAGGCGATGTTCCTCTTGCCGGGTCACGACATGTTTTTTTCTTTCCTTCTATGCTGAACTTAGGCAACTGAGTTTGTACCACAGGAACTGGAGTCTTCGGCATGCGGCATTAAACAAAAACAAACTAGATCCTTCGGTGGAGCCGTATACGAAAGGCCATTCACATGCCCAGAAGCTCCACGCTCGTGCAAATATTTGGTCTACATGACTGGTTGTTTGTGTTTTGTCCAATATGGTCAGCTTTATGCCACCATGTGTTCTTGCTTAAGACCAGCGCAACATGACAGTCGTCTTTTCTGCAGATGGTGCGGTCACCCGAACGATCGACCCGGTCACCCGTTGGACCCACGGAACGGACGACCCGGTCGTTCCGGTCGTTTCGTGAGGTCGGTCTCCCGGTATTTGGGGCTAGGAAGTGTCCGAACAAACATAAAGTCATATATATGATCATATATGTATACCAGGACCTCCTTCCAACAGATCACCACCGACTTTGAAGTGTACAAAAAGCCTCCATTTCGGAGACCTGGCAGGGAATCGGTGCTGGTACATCAAATATTTCTGGGTTGCTGTGTGTGGCAGACCGATCCGGTCGACTCTGCCGGTCGGCCGTTGGGTCGGAACGTGGCACGTGGAACGTGGCCTGTTGGACAGCATTGGTATCTCATGCTGGCAGACACCCAAACTGGTCGCTTTCGCCTATTCCTGCTTGGGATTGAAGATGGTTCGGTGGTTCTGGTGATGCTTTTTTAACAACCTCCACCTGTGGGCAAAACAGGTTAGGACTCATCAGAAATGGGCGGTTGTTCATACCCAGTGCCGCACTGATGCACGAGTGGTCCACCACCGTGCTGCTCATCCCTCGTCGTCGTCGTCGTCGTCGTCCCAGGTACGTGGACGCCATTTTGCGGAACGGTTTCGATGATATCGAGACTCTGGCCGAGATGAGAGAGGAAGCAGCGAAGCGGGAGGTTGGATGCAGAAAAGGGAGGGTTCCCCCCATCTCCCCCCCCATCTAGGGTGTAGCCCCGAACAGAAGCTCCTCCCCCCCCAAATATGGAACCGTGCCTAACCAGGCTCTGCCAACTCCTCTTCGCACTTGCCAAACCTCAGTCATGGAATTCACGCACACACACATAGATGGATCTTTTCCAGGCCCTAAGTGACCTGAAACCAGGATATCAAAAGGATTCAAAAGGTCAATTGAAGAGCCATGGCATGTTATTGTGTTTGTCAATTTTCTTCTGAATCTGCGCCCCTCGTTTTCTTTTCGTTCGTTTCCACGCACCTCCTCACCGCCCACATCTACTTCAGCTCCTCCCAAGACGAGAGAAACTCCTCCCCTTCCTCCTCCCTTAGAATCTGGGACTCTCAGACTCCGGGCCGGGCGTGAGGAGCACATGAAGTCCATGGGCTTCTTGCCTGGCCATGCCTTGAAGCTCAAGAAGCGCTTGCGGGAGTTCATTGGCCACTCGCTTCTTCTGACATCAACGAGTTGTGAACCGGAAAATGGAACCTGGGGACCTGGTCGCGCCGACCTTGGACGTTCCGAGTCGAGCTGTTGTTGGTTTGTTTGTGTGTGTGTGTCTTTGTTTTTTGTTTTTGCTTTTTGGTTGTGGTTGTTTTTGTTGTTGCTGCTGTTGGTTGTCGTGGTGGTTGTGGTGGTGGTGGTGGTGGTGGTGTGCATTTGCAGGCTGTGTGCCCCGCCCCCCAGCTTTTGCCAAAGCCGGCAGCTCTTGGTGCGCAGGATGGGGTTAGCGCCAGGTTTCCGGTCCACACTTCGACTTGCATCACCTTTGGGGCACCACCTCGATTATGGATGCAGGACAGTGGCCCTTGACCAACAGATGATTCCTAGCTCTCTAAACCGGGTTCTTTTGACGAATGCGAATCACACGGGCAGCGACATGCGTATCGCAACTTGCGACATCCTCAATCATAAGGCATTTCCTAGGCAAAGTGTTGAAGCGCCTTGGTGGTCTTGGGATCGTCTTTTCACTGGAGGTGGAAGTCTCAGGCAAATGAGCACATAAACTCATTTGAGCTCCGAGCAGTTCCTAAGGCGGTTCTGTATCACATCACCCGCAAGGGAAAGCAGGATGCTCGTATTTTCCATATTACCGAATTGTATATTTGCATGTCTATGATCGGCAAAGGCAGAACTAGTTCGCGACAGCTCAACATATGTTCTTCGACAACATGTTCAAATGAGGAAAGTTAAGGTTTGCATCTGAATGATTCTTCTACTTTGGCCAGATACTAAGTGTCTTAAATGAGCGCCATCGGTACACACCAGAAACATTAGCTGGTTGAGACACAAATATGCGATGTTTCATGAAATGTTTACCACAGTTTTTGATAATTGGTTGAGCCCGTATTTAAAAAAAAGAACATTAAGCAACATCATAACAATTTCAATTAAACACACATATTTTTGAACATGTTTTGTTTTCTTAGATTATTTGTTCAAGCTTCTATGTTTTGTAACGTGTTTTTTTCAGAACCATTAACAAACACATTAAAACATCATAAGCACAACTTTTGTTACTTAATTCATAAATCAAAACCATAAAGAAGCGGTGCACAGGATATCTACCACCTATCATAAAGATGCCGCAGCTCCCATGCCTCAGCTGTAGCAATGTGGTTTTCTTCCAGCCTCTTCTGGATATGCCCCAAAATCAACAAGTATGTGCTGTTCGTGCCTGGCTTCAAATCAGTGGCACCTTGCCATCTTCACGTGTCATCCCACAGATGTATGCCCTCCATGGTTCTTGCGTCTTCTTGGGCTCAGCTCATTTCTTCCTAAGGCTGGTGGCCAACGCTTTCCAGAATCTGCTTTCCCGTGTCTCAAAGGTTTTGCTTTGCCTTTCCCTTTTGTCAAGGGGTTTCCCCTGCCTTTTGACGAGATTGCTATTTCAATTTGCAGCAAAATCCAGCTCTACCTTCTTTTTTGCATGGTCCTTTTCTTCTTCAATGTTGGCATCTGTTGCCAGTTGCCCTTGCCTTCTTCTCAAGAAAGATGGTTGGGACAGTGGTCTTGCTAAGGCGCTTCCTTTTGGCAAGGAACTGTTTCCAGCATCCTTTCTGGTAAAGCTTCCTTTTGTCAAGGGGTGTTCAGCTGTTTTGTTGTTCGTGTGTTTGTGTGTTTGTTTGTTTGTTTGTTTGCTTGTTTTTTTGGAGACGAGTTGCTACAGTGAACAATCCCAACAGACTCAATAAACTGTCCAATAAAAAAAACTGCCCAAGGTAGCGCCCCAAACTTCACATTGATGCGGCTGATCGATCCTGAGCACAAACGGCTGAAAACCATACGGCCCATAGCCAGTCAAGGGTGAGTTTGGCCCATTGGAGCAAAGTCTGGTGCATGGATGCTTGTTTGAAGCCGAGTTGAGGCGGACCAGTTTCCAGGGTTCAGTATGACTGGATTCGAGCATGGTTATTATCTGTTTGGTTATCAGCCGTTTTTCCTCTGTGATCGACCAGTATATAGATCAAGTTGACGGATGTGTTGAGATGCCAGATTGGAAGGCCAGGCATGTTGTGTTGAAGCTTCATTCGCTTTCGGAGGCGAGGAGGCACCCTCCACCGTGAAGACCGTCAGCGAGCCGAGTAACGTCACCCGGTCGTAGAGCGATTCGCGATTTGGAGAGTGGGGTCACCCGGCCAAGGACCACTTTTTCATCCTGGCGGACATGGACATGTTTTCCCATGGGCTCCAAACACCAAGGATCTCCGGTTCCCAGAAGCTTCGGGCTGCAGGACTCCTCCCTAGCTAGCGAAGGACTCGTCGGTCCATGCGAATCGCGAGCACTTGGAGTTCCCCCAAGGCGGACAGCGAACCGTGGGACTGAAGGTTCTGGTGTGTTGTGGTGGAACCCACCCGAGGTGATCAGTGTGTTTGTAGGTGTCTTTTTAATGTTCTCTTTGTGCAATGTTAGATAAACTAAGTCACCTGGGATGGTTTTTTTTTTAAGGGTCTTGCTTCCTGAGCCATAGACACACGAGATTGGCGGTTTATTGGGTTTATCTCCATGTTTACCCGACTCACGGCAAAAGGTTCAGTCTTCATCTGTATGTCTTGGTAAAGGTCCCGACTCCATCATCCCTCAGCGTTACCAGTGAATTGGATAGACTTCGATGCACCCAGACGCGACCCTGGATCCTCATATGGAGGGGTCCCGGGGTCTCAAATCCGATTGGGAGGGACCAGTCGAGCTGTGAACGGAGCGTTTGGGCAAGTTAAATGTAAACACCCCGCCTTGAAACTTGTTCATGTGAGCCTCCAGCCTCGCTCAGGAACCCTCATTGGACCCTGGAGCATGCAAGCAGAGGGTCCCCGCGAGATGGGGGTGATGGGGCTATGCTGTTTGATGTGCAAAAGCACAAACTACATGTACTAGTACTACATGTGAGATGTGGTTTGAAGTGCTTCACACTTTGATCCCTATACTTGGTAGATTAGCTTTGCCACTGCAACCAAGTGCACCCTCTTTGCGCGTTGGTTTTTGGGGTCTGAAATCCATGGTATCCCGTCGATGTTCCCTTGAATCAATCCATTGAGAAGAGGCAGAGAAGTTGACGTTGTGCTATTGGAAGATCTGAAGACCAGAAGTTCCAGGTCGGGGTGCTTCTTGGAGGAAGTCGGGGTGCCCCGTCACATCCACAATGCTCTCTAAGTGTCTCCCATTTGCCCCAAAGTGCACCACTCACACCTTCCATCCTCCCCCTAGACCCTACTGCTGCGCTCAAGCTCTTAACTCCTCAGAGCCGTTCCAAACGGTGGACCCGTCGAGTCCACCAGGTCCGTCGACCCCGGTCCGCTCAGAACATCTCGGCGGAGAACGCGCTCTCAGTGCAGCAGAGCTGGGCGGAGGTGCGGAAGTTAGGCGCGGAAGGACGCGGAAGAGCGGAGCCGGATGGGGGGTCCGGGTGGGAGCGGGGTGGGACCGGGTTTGAGGATGTTTGAGGGGTTTTGTGAGGAACAGACAGCATGGGAGTGGAGGGGGAATGGGGAGCATGGACAGCATGGGGAGGTAAAGTGGGGATGAGGGAGCAAGAGGATGTGTAGAAGCACAACATGCGATATGTTGTGAGAGGTGAATCGGTTGTAGAAAGTGGATGTGTCATGTTTGGTTATAACGTTAGTGAATGGGTTTACATGGGTTTACATCCAAGCCTAGCCGAATCACCTTCACTTAACAGTTGTGGTGGTCAATTGAATCTGTGTTTTTTGCGTTTTGCTTCATCGTTGGGGACTCAGAACCTCCTGGTCTATTTCTCTCCCAAACGGTCTGGGCCTCAACCAGCGTTTGAGCATGTACTTTTGATAAGAAGTCTTATGCCTTTGCAGGTCAGTTTGACCTCAGTTTATTGGTATAAGAGGTTTGACCTCAGTTTTACATTTACATGTTTGACCGTTTGACCTCACATTTACCTCAGTTTGACCTCAGTTTACTGGTAGGTCATGTAAAAAGACACACAAAAACCACTCAAAAACTGGTGCTTCAGGACCACCTCTTTGACGTACGGGTCAGACCGGACGTACGGGTGCGCCGTCTTGACCCCCGGGCCAGGGGTCTCAACTGTGGGCCATACCTTTTACAAGCACATGTTTCAATTGGTTCCTGAAGCTCGAAAGTTGCGACTTGGAGTCGAGGATGATGGGGGGATTGGAGACACGAAGTGAAAGCATCAATGAACCACCCAGACGCTCCGTTCACAGCCCGACTGGTCCCTCCAAATCGGATTGGTGAGAAACCCCGGACCCCTCCATATGAGGATCGATGAGCGTCTGGGAATGTATATCTTTGGTGTGGAGAACACTATAATATATACAGTACCCTTCCAAGGGACTAAAGTCTTCAAGAGGGATGCTTTGGGGTTGATGGTTGCCATCATGCATAGCCCAGACACTCCCAAAACATGACGCCTACATTGACCGCTGAAACCACCCCAATGAAACCAATGTAGGCAAATACATCATACATGGGTGTCAGATGTCAATGAGTTGGAAAACCATTCGCTCCAGGGCTGGGTCGGACGTTGCAACAGTTCTGGGTCGGACACGGCTTTGGTGAATAAGAGCTTTGAATACCTTTGAATCATGTGAAAGAAACCTAATAGCGGCAGCGATGGCCTCCAACCAACCTGAATACGTTTGAATCATGTGAAGGGTCGACCACGTCCAAACCGCCTAGCCTTCCCCGAAGTGATCAAACATGATCAAGCTGTATACAGTACTAGGACGCACTAGGATCGAGCCTCTAGCCAAGTATGCATCACTCACCTAGCCTTCGATGTCCTTTCGTCACTTCCAGTCAAGGTCAGACTCACCTGAGTCATGCTGGATCATGCTTAAACTACCCCTCCAACCATCTGTGCCTGGACATGGCACCCAGATTCTTTCCGATCCCCAGATCCCCAGATCGGAGTTTGACCTCCTCGTCATGGACCCCGTTTCGCAGCGCTTGGAACCCCGACCAGCGGAGTGTCACCCAGCCGCTTCGCCTCGCCGCTGCGCCGAGCGAACGCTTCGAGCAGCTTCGCCTCGCGTCGCGTCGAACGCCCTCAGATTCCCGATGACCTTCCGCAACCACTTTGCCGACGTGGCTTGGAGGGAACTGGGGGGGGTGGGGTGGAGGGGTGGGTGCTTGCTTCAGGAGGTGGACAGGAAGTTCGAGAGGCCTTGGGAGGGAACAACAAAAACCATTCTAGAACACAAGAAAGTCTTGGTGGGCTTGAACATCTTCTTTGAGCGACCGTCAGGACATGGGGATTCCAGGAGAGTCCATCCTGGCACATCTTCACCGCGGCAAGCCGCCCAAGTGGTGAACCGCGCCGCCCAGGATGGCCTTTTCCACGTGAGCCTGGAGAAGGCCGGGAGGTTGGGTCGGATGGGCGCAGGTTGAGACGAGAAGCTTCGAAGGCCAGGACGCCCCGGTCGGTGGAAAACCACATACACCCCGACGAAGACGTCAGATGGAAGTGGACACTTACTTTTCGTAAAGGAAAGTAGTCTTTCAAGGGACCATGCCATCCACTTCCATGTGATGTGTTCGTCAGAGTGTAATTCAAGTCTGGCGCGAAGGCCTGGTTTCCTCCACTCACCCTGTGGATCCACAGGCGTTCTTTATTCCAATCTGGCGCCAGAGCTGAAAGGTCCATCTTTTACAGATCGATTTGGGGCGTGCCACCATCCCAGACTTACATATGAGATGAAGAAACACTCGGGCGCCCCAAATGCATGAAGTGCGATGCCATGCGCCCCCCAAATCCAGTATATCTTTACCTGGGGCCTTTTTGTGACCCCTGGAGCTTGGAGGATCAACTATCCAAAGTATGGTCAAACTTGCTATCAAAACAGAGGTCAGTCAGGATCTAGGTATATAATTAACAATGTTTGAAGACGACATGCTGCAATCACATAGGAAGAACTCGATGACGAAAGGGGGCATCGCCCCTCGGCGGTTTTGTTGGTCCAATCAAAATAATGTTTGGGTATGTCCTATAACTATAACCTGTAACAGTCGATCAACAAGCAGCTCACTATTTTGGAGATGGATGTCGGCCTGCAACGTAACCGTCATCATCCATTGAAACCAGGGAATTAGGGAATGGGATATATATATATATACATATACCATATATATATATATAATCATTGCTTTTTCTCTACTTTGTCGGGTTTCTTCGAGGTCAAGCAGGTCTGCCCCGGTCAGTTTCTCCCGTGGCTCTTCAAACAGGCGTGCACCCCCCAGCAAAAACATACAAAAACCGGGGGCTCCACCGCATGAAAGAGTCTAAACTCAACAAGAAGCGTCATCAAATCCACTTCTTCACTTTGCAACACTGAGTTTTCAGGAGGCTCTAAAAAAACGGCAGCCAAATGGACTCACCCAAACACCCGTGTTGTTCCTCCCACATCAGCTCCTCGCAAGGCGATTCAATGCCCGCCGGCACCTGTCCTGGAACACTTCACCCGAGTCTTAGAAGCGATCGGCTCGGCAGTGGCAGGCGGCGGCGGTGCATCCGATAGATTTGATTGGGGGAAACAGGGAGGTGTGAATGTTCGAAACAAAGAAAAAGGAGCTTTGGAAAACAGGGGTCATACTATAAAAACAGGGTCATATAGTATGACTCAGTTACTATAAGTTACATATTGCAATGTTTTGGAAAACATAAAGCAACTCAGTCATGTTGGGATGGGACATCATACCAGGACCATCCCCCTTGGGTCACCAATGTACTACCCTCCACTATGATCTGCGGATATTGATTGGAATGTCCAGGTATAGTCCCCAAATAGATAGTGCATGGCACGGTTTCCAATACATTTTTAGAGGTGATTCACTTTTCTATATAGTTGGGGGATGTTGTGGGTCTGTATATGTCTGAACACACATATAGATACTTCTTCATGGACACCTATGGACACGAGGCGAAGACCGGGCCTCAATCGCCCATCAAGAGGCAAAGGAGTTGTGTTGTTTGTGTTTTTTTTTTTCAGGATGTTTAAAGGGTGACACAAAGTACAAAAGAAGACCCTCCTGTTTTTCTACCTTCAGGGCCTTCCCAGTACTTTCCGCTGAATGTCTCTTCCCCTATCGACTCGCTTGCCCTATCGACTCGCTTGCTACAGCCGATGCTCCCAGCGCTTATCACCGTCCTCCAGCATGAGGACGAGGGCTATTGGCGATGTTTGTTCTGGCCCCTTCAGCATATCCAGGCTATCACCTTTGTTGTGAGGGGCAAAACCCTAGCGAACTGAGGGTCCAATGAGCCTTTGGGAGATGGAAGGTTTGGTGGAACCTGTATCTGTGGGATCTACTCCCTCGGGTGTCGTGAGTTCAACGACCACCCCTGAGAATCGAGCCAGGCTTGCAGAACAAGGAGCGCATGGTGCCGCAGCTTCTGGCTCTGGGCCTTTGGGAATCAAAGCCATATAACAGATGCATTGTTACTTTTCTTGTCGGGGGTGCTTTTTAGTTCTGTGACCGAAAAATAACTATATAACAACATATAACAACCTTGTTCTAATACATTTAGGATATTTTTTGTATATATAAGGTATATAGTGGTATATATATATATATCATGTCATTTACACATGGAAGCAGCACGTCCAAAGTCCAAAGCTTGTTTTTTTCCTGCCTTGTTGGAAGGTCGTTTTTCCCGCCCAGCTGGGGGTTTCACTTCAGTCCTCCACTGCGTCTGAGGGATCAAAGGAATGAAGGATACCTGAAGTCTCAGTTCGTCCCTGCGAAAACTGGGGGTCATGGACTCCATGTTCTGAGGTACTTTGGAGGGTCTGGGTGTATACCTAGAACCTGAGTATCCTCTATTTTTGATCACCAACCATCCAAGATATGGTCCCTTCAAAGTCCTTTCCCATCAAAACAGGGGTCATACTATATAACTTATATACTGCAATATGCGGACGGCTGCTTATGCCATGGAAAGGGGCAGTTGGTTACGGATGTGAGTGGGTTTGGATGGCTTAGGGGAGCTCAAGCTATGTTTATACCTACTGCAATCTCGCATGGTCATCGCTGGGCTCCTTTTACATGCTAGGTCGCATGTGCCCAAACACCGAGGGCGGTATCACCAACTTGGAGGATTTCGACAGCATCATGCGACCATCTGAGGTATGAAGCATGCAACCTTGGGCTTGGAAGAGATTCTTGGCGCCTGTTTAGTCCGTCGGGATTTTCTGCAGACGGCCTACAGGAACGAAGAGCCATACCTCTCCTCTTGGCCTCAAAGCCTTCTTTGGCTCTCCTTGCCCTTCTAGGTGCCATTCTGTTCGGGCAGCTGGAGGCTTGAAGTAAGAAAGCAGTTCACCTATCACCCTGCGTCAGTGTGAGCAATGCGGACTTCGACTGCCCGGAGTGCCCGGAGTAGCCATGAAATAAACCAATGCGAGACACTCCTCGCAACTGAACATATATATATATTATATTACATCATATTACAACGGCCCTATATGAACCCCTATTTGCACCACTCCTGATCGGTCAATACATGCCAGTTGGATTGGAGTGTCTGGGAATTTGGGACGCTGAGCTGGGTTGTCCTTTCAGCACAACCCAAAGAGGAGGTCTGGCCAGCACACTGCGGAGTAGTGCGGCACAGATGCGGCACAGATGCACCGTCGCTTGCTTGTTCCACCCTTGCCACCGGGGCCACCACGCTGCTTGGAAGGAACTACAGATCCTTGTGGCCAGACCAACTCTCAACCACTTTGGAACCAGCCACTATTCCGACTCCTACTTAGACTGATGTCCGAATGAACCTTGCTTAAACCAATGCCTTAGCAGTACTACAACCCTGTGAAATCATGCCTTTTTGTGTTTGGCTCGGAGGGGGCGGGTAGTTGGAGCCCTTTTTGGGGGTACAGTGGGTTCAGAGTAGATGGCGCAATCCCCAAAAGGTGGTTTGTATGGACCCCTATCTAAAGGACATCTTGGGGTTTGTGCCATCTACTCTGAACCCACTGTATCAATCTTCTCCAATTCGTTTCCCATGTTTCCGCACCCCCGGCCCCCGGATGATCTGTGCGTGTCCCCAACATCTCCACCTCACCCGACACGCGCCGTAAACCGGACACGGAGCCGGCCACCGGTTTCGCGGCTGTTTGCTGAGCGGCTCAGCGTCAGGGAGTGGGGAAGAAATCTAAGAGTTGTTCTGGTCGTCCAGGCTATCTACATCTATCCATTTAGACCACATCCCTGCTTTGGGCCTTCACCTTCAGAAGGATCTCCACCTCTCTCTTGAAAGACCTGGGACCCGTCTCCGCCAGGAAGTACTTCCGCGTGGGCAACGCCGCGTTGATGTTGACGCTCCACGAAGCCTTGGGCGATCGCTTCACCGTGGTCCTGGAGGAAAGCCGCAGAAGTCACTGGATCCCAAGCGGTTCGCCTCGGGCCGGACCAGAGGGTCAGTGTAACACGGAGAGTTAGGGAGTTGATCTTGATATACCTTAGAGCTGGACTGACCGTTGATCCTCCAAGCTCCAGGGGTCACAAAAAGGCTCCAGGTATATATATATACCGTATATAATATATCCCGACAAGTCCCTACAAGTCCTGTCCGGACAACCTCATCGAGTTGTTTCTGTTTACATGACCAACACTGAGATTCTCAACCTGCACATTATAACTAACATATTTCTATGTTTTTCCTCTACATAGTGCCTCCTAGACTCCTGGGGTAGGAAAGATGTTCTTCTCCATTTGTCCTTTGTAATATATTATATTGACCGATGAGATTTGGTTGTTGAGTTCGCTTGGAAGCTTAAGGGTTTGATTCAATTCTTTAGGAATGCATCAGACGAGAACCTCATATCAGGGGTGTCACCCTTAAAGGATATGCAGGCATTATATGGACACCTCACTGAGATTCATGGGAATCTCACATCTTACGTTAACATCCTCAGAACTAGTGGCAATGTCGTCTCGTGACTCTTGCACATCCAGCCAGTGTTTGAAAACAGAACACTCGCTTTGACTCAGCATGACTTGGATACATCAGTACTTGTCATGACTTGGTCCGCCACAGCATCAGCATGTTCAACTGTTGATCCGCCACAGGAGTCTTGGTCGTTGGTTTATGGCTTTATGTCCGCCAACATGTGGGGGCCACCCAGTTGCTGCGCTGCGCAGCGCGTCTGGGCGCCTCGGGGCGCGGAGCACTTCCCTGGCGCCGGGGTTGATGTCATGGGGTCCAGGCTTCATATGACCCTCATAATTCTTGGGCACTTAAGTCACTGAGTGGAACTGAAAAGAGGCAAATTGCTAAGTCACTGCTTCACGTGGTTTTAGCGTGTGTGGTTTGGGCATGCTGCATGCTTTTGTTTTTTTGGCATATGAAGGTTTAGTTTGAAGCCTCAAAGCCTTAAGTTAAGATCCATCCTTCCCAGTCCCGAATTGAAAACACAGCAGCAACAAATGGAGAAACAGTGCTACCACACTCTTTGATACAAGTAGTTACAAGCAGAGAATTCACTGCAAGCATGGCTTGGTGGACTGTGGCTTGTGAAAATCACAGGCTTTGGCCACCTACATACGCAGATTCTATGAGTCTTCCGTCCCTGATGCCGATCGATCCACTTCCGAAAACCAACACGGACCGCCTGGGAATGTGCAGGTGAAGTGATGTTAGATTCACGTTAGAATCTTGTCAAATTTCGTCCGTTTCACCTAAACCATGAGTTGGTTCATGTTGGTTCTTTTCCTGAGAATCCCTCCAAGGGTGATAGAATCCAACCCTACGATGTCAAGAAAACATGTCAGATCCACCTACTTGATCACCCAATCCATCCCATTCCCGGCGGTCACGGCCCTTGCTCCCTGAAAAACCGAACGGGATTGGTCGTCAGGTTGTCCCACGTCTCCACGGAGGCGACGTCGCGGTCTGTTTGGATGGAGACCTCCCCGGGTTTCCCCCACCTCTCACCATGGCAGCACGTGGCGTGGCGTTTGGCGCTCAGGATCGCGGGGTTCCGTGACTTCCGCTCCAAGGAGGCTCAGGTTCGCCGGGTTCCGAGGATCGGGAAGGAGGCTGAAGGCCTGAAGGAGATGGACCTGAAAGCCTCCAAAACGAGCCTCTGGCACATGGGTCGACTACTTCGAGCCACTTTCGGTCTACCAATGGGTCGACTTAGAAACATTGGAGGAAGCAGAATCCCTGTGGTCCCCGGGATCATTCCAACATCTTGCATGGCTGCAATCGAAACTGTATACAGTCGCCTGACCGCCAGGCCCGCCTCTCTCGGGCCCAGAGAGGGGGCCACTACTCTCGTTGTCGGTCTCCTCAGGTGGCGGACTTCCGCGCGGAGATCCAACGGACCATGAAGAAGAGTGAGGCGGCCGTGGTAAGTAGAGACGAGATGCGGAGCTTTCCAGATACGGGTCCAAATGGTCGCCTGGGGTGGAATGGTAGGCGTTTTGTTTAATGCCATAAATGGAATGTTTGGATATATATAGTGGTATTGAAAGACTGGAAACATCTTGAAGCATATGCTTTGTTGTGATCCTTAGCCTTCATGTTGTGTTTACTCAATATTCTGTCCTGAAAGAGACGTGCACCTAGTGCTTCAAGGCACACCGGACCGTGACTCGGACCTGAGATCCACGGCAGGTGGGATGGTGAATCAATGTAAGGTTTCGGAGGAAGTCTTTGGCAGGGATATACACTATGTTACACTCAGCATTCACTTCCAGGTTCTGATGATTCAGACTCCATCAAACGACATGAGACTCCCGAGTGCGCCAGACGCATCCAGTGGTCCAGATTCGTCACTTTTTGATGTTGAAGTCAGTCTCAGCCCGAGAAGCAAGATGACACTTATAGAGACTTTTTGTATCAGTCATCCCCGCCACTCGAAGAGGTCTGGGAAAGGTTCGGGTGCCTGAGTCTCAATCTACCTAAGGTTTCCTTGTTGCCCAGTTTAAAGGCCCTCAGCCGTGATGAAACAGCCATGGATTGGGCATGTCACGGAGCGTTCTGTACATATACATACCCAGATCTTCTAATATGCAAAATGTATGCCTTTTGGCTGGCTTGGAAGATCTAACGGCTTGAGCCTTCAAACCATATCCGCAGCACCCCTCCAACAAACAGGGAAGTGAATGGCATGATCTCTTGGAAGACTGTTCTTTAAATACTTACCAAACAAGGAGTTTTCCCAGAGAAACATATCAATTAGATATTCTTGCAGTGCAGGGCAAGTCTGTAGCTCAGAAGTTCATTTGTTCCAGTCAACCCCCCAAACAGCTCCCGGAACATTGGACAATTGGAACAAAAGGTATTTGGATCTCAAGCTATGGCAGGAGAACGGCTGGGAATCCTGAGAAGTGGATTGTTCCTCCATCAGCAGCTGGTGATTAGTGATGTTCCTGGACAACTTACACAACAGCTCTTGTTCAGGTATGAGGACGCGAAGATTGCACGACGGTATGAAACGGTCTATGACGGTCATACACAGCTCTGGTGCGACTGAGTGACTTCAGCAACTCGGTAATGTCGACTCGGGAACGACTTCAACTCGCGGACCCAGAAGACGAAGTCCGACCCCGAGAAGCTGCGGAGCCTGGCTGAGAAGATCTCTGGGCAGCTGAAGGCCGACAAGGCGAAGTCTGCGTGCGGGATGAGGAAGGCTACCGTCGCGGGTGGAGGGACCCAAACGGAGAATGTATGATGATACAATTACAGTAGGCATTATCCCTACAAGTCCAGTCTGATCCAGTAAACTTGGTGCTGAAAGCCTCATTGAGTGGTGTTCTTACATGACCAACACCAGTAATTAGACTGAGGTCCTTGACCTGCAGTATATGGTTATTTCATGTTATTTCCTTTACCCTATAGGAGCCCAGGTCTAGGATGGTTCCTATTTGGATTTACTTGAAACATTTTGAAACCCAATCGAGCCTTCAAGACTTATTGTAAGCAGGACATGACTGGACGCTACGGGTCAGTCTTTGTAGTGCTTTGAGAAGCAGAATTTGTAACTTAGTTGGTGTCATAACCTAGGTTATACCAGCCTAATGAACAAGTTCTCAAGGTTACTGTTCCTATGATCAGGACCGTCTCTTAAAGGATATGTTTGCAGAAGACGTGAATAGATATATAATACACGTAATAAATGCATATGGCATATAATTTAGTTCAAAAAGATCAGCCAGACAGCCAAAGCTATGATCTTCCTTGTATTCAAAGGAAGGCTGCGTCCATCAATGGCGCCATTCTATGCCTCGATGCGATGCGTGACGCCATTGACGATCATCAGGCCTCTACAAAGGGTGATGCGGATCTGCCAAACTTGTTGCCACTCAGCATCCACGAAGTGTTCGATTCTAATATCTTCCCTTGACATACTCGACTTGACCCGGTCGACGAGCCCCTTTGGTTCATCTAGGAGTTGGCTGCAAAAACAAGATGTTTGGATTCTGGATCTACCAGTACATCACTGGTAGATTGCTATTTACATATGATGGTTAATTTTATGTTAATTTGGTGGGTCAAAACCGGGGGATAAGGCACCTTGGATTTTCCCACCAAAAATGAACGGAATAGACTACCAGACACGATCAATCTACGGAGAAAGGGGCTCCAGGCTTTGACTCACTGGTAGATTACTATTTATATACATCAATTTGCCATTCTTGTGTTGATGTATCCTGCAAAATTGATGGTAAATTCACGTCCATTTGCTACGTATTTACTGCAGGTTCACCCAGGTCTCAGCTCACTCAGGTCTTCTTGAGCAGAGCGGACGGAGGTCACCCGCCCATCGGTCAGTCCCATTTCTGGACCGTGCTTTCCGGTTCGACACAGACGGTTCGGTCTGCTTTTTTTTTGTTTGGAGTTGACCCATAAATATTGAAACACCTGCCCTCAAAGTGAACATAGAAACTATATATGAATTGTATTGCGCATGTCTATACAAATTGTGCATAGATCAAAGCGTGAGGGTGCCATCGGGTATACCGGGGTCACCGAAGCAAAACTACATAGATTTACCATAGCCTCCATGGTGCTGGTTTAGGCACGTGTGGGAGCTGTTCTATTCGTTTGAGAAATGATTTGAGAGTCAAAGGGTCCTCAAAGAATCTATAGAATCCATTTGCATGTTCTACGCTCAAAATGGAAGATAGGAACCCACGAGCCAGGCATTGAAACACCGTAGGCATCCATAGGGCTTATTCTACTCGTAGGTTATTGGTTAACTTTGAAGCCCCTTGTTCCTTTTTTTGGAGCCCCTTGCTGCTTGGAACATGGGAGGGTCCTCCCATGTCCTCCCTTCCGTCCAACACTCGATGGTGAGCCCAGGACCGCCACACCCACGCCGTCGTTGCCGGAGAAGGTGAAGGAGACCCTTCTGGTGGAGCCACTGGAAGAGGAAGGAGACTAGGCCGAGAAAAGCTCAGTGGAACACTCAGTAGTGGAGAATTGGATGGTGGAGCCATGACCAGTGTGAGGTCATTGGATGATATGACCAGCTCTTTCTTGCAAAACCTCGAGCAGATGGCCTCACATCTTGTGACTGGTGATGTGCAACATATCCAATGTTGAGGTTTGACCAATGTTGAACACACGAATCGACGTTGTGTCTTGGGTATGGTCCTGATGGTCAATCACACGTCTATTCCACTGAGTATCCATGTTGTATTGAAAACATCTGGACAAGACTACAGCACTTATTCACCAAGCTTGTCAGCAGGTTATCCACCCCTGGCCCTTCACAGATGGTGTTTTGGGTGCCTAATCTACAGCCACATCATCCTCCAGCGTCCAGGGCGGGGGAACAAGCAAAGAGATACTCTTTAGGCACCAAGTGGCACAGACATCCTTCCTTTGCAAGCAATGCAAGAGGGTGTTGTTTTCCTTTTTTTCTCATCAGCAACCGGCAGCGTACCCATGATTTACCTCCAATATCCTCTAATTGAACTATCGAATCATTCCCAGACCATCCATGTATGTACTAATTGTAGATAGCAACTATTCCTGGAACACATCCACTTGAGTGTGGAACGGTGCCCACCACCACTGCTTTTTGGCATACGCACAGCATGAACGTCGCGGGCTGTGGCGCCAGGTAACTTTCAAGACCTTCCTTCGATGGCAGGGTTTCAGTTTAAAAAGCAGCTGCAGGTCGGCCAGGTGATTGGCAGAGTGGATACAAAATGACATCTCCATGGACAAAATGGACGACTACACTTCCTGAATTCAAACAAATTGTTTCCACTTCCATGTTCGTTACTTGGGGTGTATGCCAACAAGTGTATGCGTCAAGAAGTGTCACGTGTTGTATGTCTTACATGACGGTGTATGTCTAGAGCAGATGATCAACATCCTCGCGACCAGCAGAAAGGACACGCTTCCAGCTGTGGCCGGCGGTTGTCTGCTTTGTTCCAATCGAAGCTGAGATTCCATGGTCCACGGTAGGTGCAAAGGTTCAAGTATGTTGATGCTTTGAGCACACATATGAAAAGGTGTATATATAATACTATGTGTGATTACATAGTTAATCAGTTGTTGAACACACACCTATCATATGTGTGTTATATGATACATAGTAATGTTGAAAAGGTGTATATATGATTAGCTATGTAATTACATAGCCAATCAGTTGGTGCCTTGGGCCAGGAACAAGATGTGCGGTTTCGAGGTTTAGTCTCCTGAGTTAGTCGACTTGAGTGGTCTTCTCCGGCGTTTTTGTCCGTGGTTTCCAAATCATGTTGGTTCACAGTGGTCAGATCTTGCTTGCACGGCTCTTTCTCTAGAACACCAAACTGAATCTCACATGGAGAAATCCGTGAAATCGACTTCTCGTTTCTTCTCATGTCAGCTGGTGTCGGTGGTCGGTGTCTACCAAGCAAAAAGACAATCCCATGGCCCATGGCCCTGGATGGCAGTGTTGGGCAACACCCGAAACACCGGTGTGGGGGGGGGGCCGCTTGCTGGCGGCCCGCAGTGTTTTCCGCCTTCACCCTGAATTAGCGAAGTGTCAGCTTCGTCTCCCTATCTGAGGCGATGTTTCACGGGTTTTGTTCGAGGCTATTCTTCCAACTGTGGGGCTGGAGCGATGAGGTGTAATTATAGTTGAAGCCCTGAAAGCAAAATAAATACCTAGCAGGCTTGATGTCAAGTACTTTACACATGTGTGGCTCGAAGATACCCTCCTGGCTGCTGGTGAAGCACATAATCTCATTAAACTAAATATCTATACATCTTAAAATCTATAAATACCAGAGTAGTGGATGATTGGAGGATACCCTACGGGTGGCTTCCGTACCATGACTGGCACTGGAAAAGATAAAAACGCCCAAACTTATCCGTCCAGCATGGAATCTCAGAGATCTTGAAGGTTGGCTTCGCTGCCATCTTGTGTCTCCACAAAAGAGCGCGGGGACTGTACACATGTATTGCATGCAGCTGAGCCTGGGTTCAAAACCAAGTGAATACCAAGTGACATTGACATTGAAGAACAGGAAGAAAACATTGGAGCTCAAGGTGTGTTTCATTTCAACCTGTTCACCAACAGAGTCAAACAGATGTTGGACCGGGATTTGGTCCAAACCTTTGATCTTTGGTCCCAATTGGACGGACAGTCCGTCGGGGAGGTGCGCGACTGGCGGGCTCAGCGGCTCGCCAGTCGTCGTACCGGTCGGGATGCATCGGTGCTGGGTGCATACAGATCAAGGAAGCGGTTTGAAGCTGTTGGAAGGAGAAAGAAAGCTCAGACACAGCAAGCCTTCCTTTGGTAATTCTCTTGTAGAGATCTGTCTATAGCAACAGATCATATAGAAAGATCATGTTCTTCTCAGTCCTCTTTTAGACCAACAAGCCTTCTTTGGGTCGCCAAGCCTCAGACTTCCTGTCAGACTGTTCTCGTTTTGGTGGTCACTACTTCCGGAAAAATTAAGCGCCTATGCAGTTTCTTGAGCCGTTCTGAACTGCCTCTCAATTCCACCTGGTTGATCCGTCATGACCGGAAAAAAATGAAAAAACAAACGTGAAGGACCCAGTTTGCGCTGCGGCATACCCGTCGCGTGCATCGATCATGACTGGAGGGCCGAGCAGCGTTCCAAAGGGTCTCGCGCAGTGCTTGGGTGCTCTTTTTTTGTTGGCACGCCACTACCTCCAGTTTGTTGAATCTCACCCGTTGTGCCATCTCTGGAACGCTTCTGTGCAGGTTCTCCTGTTGGACAGTCGGCAGAGGTGCTCAAGTATAGCGCGTTATACATACAGTACACATAATTATGTTGTGTGTTAGAGAATACTTAAGTAGGGGGCTTGTGTTAGAAGGGGCTTGTGTTAGTTATACATACAGTACCCATTAAGAATAGGGCGTGGGGTTTCATTCTTCGCAATGGGTAAACTGCACAAACATGTGGCAGTGACCCTGCAAAACTCCCTCGTTCAACACACTTCTTCTTCGTTTTCGAAGAGAAAAGCATCCCTCCAGGTGACAGAAAAGCAGGGTGACAGGTCAATTGAGTCATGATTTCTCAATAAAGCCCCCCAACAAAATGGCGATGCCGCCATTTTCCTGGTTTTGCTTCTAAGGTTGGGAGTTTTAGTTTTTTGTGTGTTCCCCGTGGGAATCCCTTTTTGCGGAATAGTTTGTGATATTTGGTTGTTGTTTTTTAATAACCCAGCTCCTTTTGAGCATATCCAAGTTTTGGTCGGGGTGAATGACTCTCATCAACTGTCAACCTTCTTCGGGGTTCCAAACTCAGACCATGACTTGGGGGAGAGGGAGATCATTGCAGGACCTGCGGAAGTGGACGTCTAGATTTTCAGAAATCGGACACCCAACCAGATCCTTGTTTGGTAGTTTCCCATGTTTGTTCCATTTCCTGTGTTCCTTAACTTGTTCAACTACAGTACTGGTTTGGGATTGAAATATAGAGAGAGAGAGAGAGAAGCAGAAGTCAGCAAATCCAGCTAGAACATGTCTAGCGCATCGCCTATGATTTCTTTGTGTTGAAGATCCCAGACAATCCATGTATGCCACCCCATTGACCCCAGGTCAACCATCCCAATGTATGTAGTTACTGTGCCATACATCCTGCCGCAGTCGGGTGCCCATGTCACCTGTATCAGGGAACAGGCTGGCTGATTAATGGCTGGCCTGTCGCCTGTCCTTGGCTGGTTCACGCACTGTGGAGGAAGCCCACATGGGTAGCACTTGAAGCTTCCAGTTTCTACCTCAGAAGTTGCAGATGAGCCCCAAAAAACAACCGATACGGATACTTGTACGCATATACTTATACAAACGGCACAACTGCAGGTGTGCAGATCAGCTTTTGCTAAACCCCAGCAACCCCCAGCAACCGGTGCACACGGGTCCCGTCTGCGGACGCCCCCACGCACGGGTCACACGCAGTGAGAAGATCGGTCCAGGCGCCTCCGTTCCTTTCAGATCCCATATGATCCATGGTGTCGGCGCAGAACGGAACCGACCGTGTTCCTCTCTGGACCAGTTTGGTTTTGTGTTCTTTTTACTCCCTAGGGCTCCTGGCTGTTTTTCCTCAGGTTTGGTGGGCACAGACACCCCTGTCCTGGCACCTACCCGTGGCCCACCGAACCGAAACGGAGGGGGCGGCCAGGAGCCCTAGGGTTTACACCCGGGTTCTTCATGCACTTCGTTTCTTCACTTTGTGATGCACTTCGTGACCCAGGTGGCCCAGGGTCCATGGGACTCAAAAGCCAGAGTCATTTGACTCTATAGGTCAAAACCCGGAGCCCGTTTCACCCCTGGAAGGTTGCTTTTGCCTCCCCAAGTAGTCCATTCTGTTATACAGTTTTCTGTGGGACCTCATCCAAAACCCGTTTGGTCCGCCCTTTCTGAACCCAATGCCTCGGTGCCCTGAAGCGCCCCGGACCCGGGACCCGTGCGGCGCCGTGAAGCCACGGATTCGACGTGAGACCAGAGACGACCTGTTTGGGACTGCCATGGGACGGACTGCCTTCGAAACGGCCAGGGGTGGTGGTGGTGGTGCTTTGGGGGGTCGACCTCTGGGGCGGCAGGTTACGGACTGGCAGTCCTATGGCAGTCTCGTGTCTGGGTGATGTAGGTGGGAGGAGGGTCCAATCGTACCGAACCGGTACTGTGGATCCCTAGGGAAGTAAGGTGTCAATCATGGATTAGAGCAAGCTTCTAAGAGGGCCTTTTTCGTAAAGAAAAAATACTAAAACAAAAAAAACATTTGATGTCAATGGACCTACTGCATATTACCTCTCTCTCTCTCTATATATATATATTTATTAGTATGTTAGTACCTGCTTGTTCAGTCCTCAGAGTGAAGTTTAGCAGCTCAGCATCTGTGTGCGCCATGTGTTCACAAACGTTGCTTTGGAAAGATCCAGGTGGTTGTGAATGGAGGATGCATGCATCTCTGGAGCACTCTTTCTCCTCATGCGATACTACATAGTTATGAACCAGCCAGGCCCCGAGCTAAGTATAGGGGAGGTCTTTGGGTGACTCCAACCAGCATTGTAATAGGACATCATCACGGAGGTTGGTTGAAACGCTGACCAGCGGACCAGGACCATCCTGGGTGTCCTGGTTGGACTACGACCCAAAGAAACTACACTCTCCTCCGAGGGAAGTCGAATTTCTCCAGCCAGGTCCCAGGTTGTAGGAGTCACCCGAAGAACCCTCCTGAAGCAAGTAGGACCATCCAGGCGCTGCGAGTTGCTAGGCACAATGCCCAGTCTGCTCCACGCTGTACGACTTGCCACCAGTGCAATTGAGAAGCTCAAACCGGTCTGGGCGAGAAGGAAAACCAGATCCACTTGTGTTTCTTGATCTGGAGTGTGTGTTACCCTGTGTAACGTTCGATGCGTTACATCTACATTCCAGGAGTTCCAAAGGAATGCTTGTTGGAGGAAGTTAGGGTGCCCATGATCCACTCACTAAAAACCACCCCGACATGTGACTCCTGGTTTGCTTCCTTTCTTTGGGTTGAACCGTGTGATGTGTCACGACGTTCCGTGGTTGAAATGGGAGTGTAATGTATACAATCGCGGAGACGGTTTGAGAAAATAGATCACCACCCAAAGCCCATGGGCCCATGGGCTGGGTCTCTCCCTATTACACTGGTTTCAGAGTAGATGGCACAATCCCCAAATGGTGGTGTATGTAATCCCATCTTAAGGACATCTTGGGGTCTGTGCCATCTACTCAGAAACCA